AAGCCTGATTTTTTATAGTAATTATAGTAAAGCACTTAACGATTTTTATTTAATTAAAAAATGCACTAAAGAATATAGACTTGCAAAAAGTAGACAAAATCACTCACCTCTCAAAATTTGCCTGGCTTTCTAACTATGTGAAAAGAACTGTTAGAAATTCATTCAAGCTAGTCCCTAACTCTCCCACAAGAATGATGTTGCTACTTTGAGTGAAAATGACCATTATCTGTTCAGAACACAATGTTATACAATATGTAATTTGATAGATGAAAACCTTGACTCTCTATTGGTTATAGGTAATATATAATGAAACGTAAGAGAGGATGTGACAGGTGGGTGTGGCAAGTTAGATTTTCTATATGATAGCTCTGTAACCAAACAAAATTGAACGCTATAAAAATTATGGCTTGTTTGAGCAATAACGATTTTATAGAGAGTATTTTATGTTTAATTTCGGACATTTTCAAGGGGTGATGGATAAAATAGGGATTATGACATACTAAGACAAAATGTGTCACGTGGGTCACACTATTGGAAATTCAGTATTTTTTTAATATATTTCCTTGTAGAATTAAGAACTTAAAACTTGTATACTATTAATTTTTGGATTATTAGCCAATATTTTGTGCTGTTATAATTGGTATAACATAAACAAAACCTAGTTTAATAAAATTTTTAATGTAAGACACTAAAACCTTGTGTCATGCATAGTAAAGGGTACCCGGGGTGAGAGGGTTAACTCCTTAATGTCTGTTTCTACATTTATACTCTGAATTAATTGTGATTCTTTCCTGGTTAATAGTTCCTGTGATTCTGACATCTCTATATTTAATTGAGTTCCTACGTATTTAGTTTCACTTCTAAAGCTAGAGGGCAAGGTAATACCTAGTTAATGAACTGAACGATTTCTGGCTAATCTCGGGTAACCACTATCTCTTAATTTAACTACTCTGGTATAGTAGTCAAATTGATATATATATTCGATTTTGGACATACAACTGATAAAGTAAGTTCATATTTAATGTTAAATAACCAAGTTCCTGGAGTCCTGGTCTTTTAAAAATAGAACGGTTTAGGAATAATTATTCTTTTCTCACATAATTCAGTTATTATATTTTTAATTCCTGCAATTATTACATAATTGCAAGTTACAATAGGTACCGAATAAATACCTCAATTAGGTCACAGACTGATGGGTCTTTCTATACAATTCAACATATCCTCTTCAGTCATTTCTATATATGTATGCTGATCACTTGAAACAGCAATGTATGGTTTATCACTTTCTATACTTAAAGCTAATGAATGATTTATCGTCGCTGGTAAGGATATAATTTTTTACAATTTGAACATTTTATCAGTTGCCTACAAAGGTATTTCTATAAACATCCGTAAGGTATCTCTAACAGTTGCTGTTTTTATGTCAGCCCATGTGTAATACATGTAAATCTGATCACTGTGAGCAGTTATTACAAACTGTAAGTGTGGAAGTAATCTCCTTTCAATTTCATCTGACACTCTTTCTAATTTACTTGGTGGTAGAAAGTATGAACTTAACTTTTTATCTGCAGCTACATAATGTAATGGGTTGCACCCTTAGGTCTAGTTGTTGGAGTTTCAATTATACTGCCAATTACACCAAATTTATTTAGTTGAGAATTGCAGTGGCAAGTGGAGCTCACAAGTCCATAACTCGAGGTAACTTACAGTTAGAATAAAGAAACTGAGTCTGAGCCTTTCAGTTATTTATATAATAGTCTTTAATTATCTTTATTTGACAATACACAATTACAATATTAAATGTTAGCATATAGATAACTTCTCTAGTTTAACAATTCACTTATTAGCAAAGATCTTCAATTTGTTTTGTATAAACTTTCTACTAATCATTAGTTAACACATTATAAATCTTTATTACTATGAATACGTTGATTGAAGCTTGAGAGTGCAAAAATTCTACTTACAACATAGTTGGCAAGGTGTACATTTGCAGATTGGATACTTTCAACATCATCTTGGAGCAACTGCTGATGTTCATGAGCAGTTAGCAAAAACTCGTCAGGAGACTGATTTTCTGCCCCAAATATGAGTTTTTAAACAATTTTTTCCTTCATGTTCCTACAAATTCCCAAATAGTATGCAGCACTACCCACAAGTAGTTCTCACACCTTATTGGTTAATTCTTATAAAGCATTGGACTGTTCCAAAACTATAACCAAATCTGTCAAGTGATTGGTTACCGTTATGGCGAGTTAGCTGGTTGCTTTCTAACTTGTGACAGTACACCAGCGTCGTGTAAGAAATATATCATCAAAGTACCACTTTTGCGTGTTAACATCAACTTTTTCGTAACTTCTACAGTACTAACGAGTTGCCGTCAGTAATTAATCAATGTCAATCACTAGTGTATCTAGTACATTTTACTTTATTATATTTTGTTTTTGCTCTCTCAAGAAAAATGTCTTAAACTTGGAAATTACAATGAAGCAATTGCACGAATTCCTCAAAATTCTCAATTGATTCATTACATGCAACGTGTATAAAGATATTATCATACGTTTAGTTGGATTTTATCTTTCAATAACTTATGAACAGAAAGATGTAAAAATTAACATCAATGTCAGTGCTGTAGTTTTCCATTCATACACGTGTTAGCATATATTTATTGATGTACGTGTTCCATCATAAACTATTGTCAACCTTAAAGCTCCATATTTTGACTGTTATTCTGACTTTTCTAAGATATACAGCTTTATTTTGGTTTATGAACCATATTCCATTTTGTGGTAGTTATTGTCTATAAATGTTACCCTTTCCCACAGATTCTAAGAAATACAATATGTACATTAAATAACTAGTTTGTCATTTATATGCTGTACTGTACAAGTTGTTATTTACTTGACAAGACACTGGATTGGATTATTTCTGGCAGTATATTGTTTTTGTCACAGGAAAATGCTAGTGTTCATTACACTGAAGTGTATAATATTATATTTTTTCTTTTGCTGTAGGTTCTCCATATCACATAAACTTTCTTCTACCAGAATTAGAGCTTGTAATGGAACATGAAAATTACGATGATGAAAAAGAAGAAGAAAAAAGTGAGTCACAAAAACTGGAAGAATATCAGAAATTTCTAACATCTCCTAAAGCTGATGATTTAGTGAAAGACAGCAAAATTTTTGAAAGTGAATTGGAAGCATTGGCTTTAAAGTCAGATAAGATATACAACAAGTTCAAGAAAAGAATTGCCAATGAACCTGAACAGGTATAAAAATTCCTGTAACTTTTCTATTCATTTATGCTTTACTTTGAATATTTTGAGTCTTCACTTTCAGATATATATGCATAGTAGAATGCATGATCATCAAGATCTGATATGATCAACAATGGAATGAATTTTGACAAAAATCTTTTGTATTTCTGAATTATCTCTGGGCTCAGGCTCAGGACCTCAGAAAAAATCTAACAGTGTTTTTTGTAACATTCTTGCATGAGTGTCTATTTTATGGCTTCACCAAAAGGTGTTTTTAACTGATTTTATATTTAAGCTGAATTTGTTATGTTTTAATATGTAGACATTTTAAGAATTATAGTCTTACATTTGTTGATATTATAATTAAGTTTCATTATTTTGATTAAATTTACATTATTTTATACAATTTTTTATCCTTTTTTTGTCAAAAAATTTAATTATGCCCTTTATTCAAGAATGCACATGCCTAGTGTGGGGCATGGTGCACAAGATACACTCCATGTAGTGTTTTTGACTGGTTTCACCTATGGGAGGCATGATTCACGAGATACTCAATGTAGAGTTTTTAACTGATTTCATGTAGTGGGAGGCATGGTGCACGAGATAAACTCAATGTAGAGTTTTTAACTGATTTCATGTAGTGGGAGGCATGGTGCACGAGATAAACTCAATGTAGAGTTTTTAACTGATTTCATGTAGTGGGAGGCATGGTGCACGAGATAAACTCAATGTAGAGTTTTTGACTGATTTCACCTAGTATAAGCCAGGATGCATGGGGTACACTCCATGTTGTGTTTTGGACTGATTTCACCTAGTGTAAGCCATGATGCATGGGGTACACTCCATGTAGTGTTTTGGACTGGTTTCACCTAATGGGGGGCATGATGCATGAAGATCCAATCTATGTAGTGTTTTTGACTGGTTTCACTGTATTGATTTTCACATAGGTGGTTGTGTTAAAATTTTAATTGTTGACAAGAGTAATAATTTTAAAAGTTTATTGTGGGGTTATGAGCCCGTTACTGTTTAATGTGACACTATTATAGATATTACATTCTTTTAAACTATGGCTTGAAATTAAAATAGTCATTAATCCTAAGAACAGTACAAAATTGAAAGTTTGTTGCAAAGTAGAAATAAAACTCTAAAGCTAAATACATTGTATTCATTTATGTTGTCCTTGAGGAAATTAAAAATATACAACAAGGTGATAGAAGGTGTTTCAACTCGCCCTTATATAAAAAGAAAAAATTCTTTTGAATCAGATAAATGTTTAAAAATATTTAAACTAACAGTGCAAACCACATCAGCAGGCAAACTAGTCTGTAAGCTTATGATTCTAACCAAAGGGTTCAAAGTATGTCTACCAAACATCTAGGATGATATTTGGGATGGAAAGGCTGTCATACAAGGACAGGTTAAGATCTCTGAAATTTTTTTCTCTTGAAAAGTGTTAGAGAGGGTCAGATTGAAGTGTTTAAGATTGTTAAGGGAATTGATAGTGTTGATGTATCATCTTTTTTTTTTTTTTTTGGACTTGATGAGTATGGTAGAACAAGGGGAAAAAACATAAATTCCAAAACATACTTACTTCCTATTACACTACAGCTATTACTTGACTGCTGGGGTTTCTTTTTCTTTGCCCTTCTAAGCGTTGGTCTGATTTTTTTTCTCACTTGATCCAGTCTTTTATTCCTCACTTAATTACCCTTGGCAATATCTGTCTTGTGACACTTTCCACCTATGTCAATGTGCTCTCTATCTTGGTACTGTATATAAGCACCTCCTTCAGATAATATTGTCACTTTTTCTTGCCAAAGTGTTCTCTAAGGTTTCTGTATAGTACGACTGTTGGAGATACTTTGAGCATTCTTCATGTTCCCTTTTTGATTTTGGTAAATCTAGAAAACTGACGAAAAACTTTTTGTTTGGCAAGCCAATTTATGGTATGAATTCCCGGATTAATGTATCCTGCACGGAGGCAAATCAGGTTTTTCCTGTCCCACCTCTGATATCTAACATTGTCTATGAGTCAAGGGGGAGTCAGTTGAGGCTGGCCATGACCTTATCCATAGTGAGATGGAGACATATATTCTGTCCGGTGGTGTTTCTCCGGGGTATAGTGCGGGGTGGTGGTCCTGCAGCACTTTGTTTTCTATGTGACACATGTAAAAATTGGCGAAAGTTACTCCAAGAGGAGAGCCCATAGCAACTTCATCGACTTGCTGGTATAGCGAACCATTGATATGTTGAAAAGGTGACTTCGTAGTACAGGGGAGTAGAAGTTCACGCATTATTCTTCAGGTATTTTGGGTGAAGACATGGTCGGGTGTCTGTAAACGTTGTCACAGATTATGTCTATCGTATCCTGGACTGGTACATTGGTAAATAATGATTCGACGTCCAAGGAAGCGAGTAGTCCCTGTGGATTTGTGACATGTAGTAAGTGGGGGAAGTCGTCTGTAGATGTTAGCATGTGTTGGGCAGGCATATACGGAGTGATGATGTGGTTTAGGTCTTTGGCAGTCTTGTATATAGGGGTGGGAATTTGTGATATGATTGGCCGTAGAGGGCTGTTCTGTTTATGAGTTTTTACGGTTCTGTAGATATATCCAGGCGCATAGTCTCCTATGATAGGTTGGAGAACCTTTTCTTTTGCTTGTTTGTTGACAGTGGCGATCAATTTATTAACGTCTGTTTTTAGTGTTTTTGTCGGGTCAGCTCTAATCCTCTTAAACTTGCTATTGTCTGATAGAATGGCATCCAATTTTGTCTTATATTCCTGTTTGTCCATGATCACTAGAATATTAGCTTTGTCCGCATGTCACACAATGATGTCGTCATGGTTTCTGAGTTCCTTAGCACATCTGTCCATCAAAAACCCACTAGCCAGGGAATCTACCTCAATGCTCAAAG